AAACAATTCGATAACAAGAAAGTCAGGAAAATGTGTGAAGAACTGGGCATCAAGAAGCATTTCTCCTCCCCACATCATCCCCAGGCTAATGGGCAAGTTGAGGCTGTAAATAAAACAATTAAGTACACCCTGAAAAGGAAGCTTGATGTATCAAAAGGCGCATGGGTAGATAAGTTACCCCAGGTGCTTTGGGCAATTAGAACCATAAGTCGAACTTCAACAGGAGAAACCCCTTTCTCTATGACATACGAGGCAGAGGCTATAAGTCCAGTTGAAGTGGGCCTTCCGTCACCTAGACGAGTGCATTTCAATGAAATGACCAATGATGAGATGAGGTGGTGTGGATTGGACTTCCTTGAAGAAAGGAGGGGTGATTCTCAGGTCAAAATGACCATGTATCAATGAAAGATGACCAGATACTATAACTCAAAAGTAAAGAAGAAGATGTTTAGGTTGAATGAGTTGGTGCTTCGAACGGTGTTCCCGCCTTCAAAGGAACACGGATCAAGGGCCCCTGGTCCGAACTGGGAGGGTCCATACCATATATATGAGGAGGTTCGACCAGGAACTTATAGAATCAAAGATATGGATGGAAATGTACAGCCTCATCCTTGGAACGCAGAACACTTGTGCATGTACTACCAATGATGTAAGACATCTTGTATAAATAGCTTTTAAATTCAATAAAAAGGTCGTACTTGTTATTACTCCTGAATTACGAGTCAATTATCTCAACAAGGCTAAGAGCTTCGACTTATTCTACAAAGGCTAAGAGCCTAGACTAATTTTTTTACAAAAGGCTAAGAGCCTCGAAGTCATTTCAACAAGGCTAAGAGCCTCGACTTATTTAAATTTTACAAAGGTTAAGAGCCTAAAAATCATTTCAACAAGGCTAAGAGCATGAACCTTAAGATTGTCAAGTTATCGTTATCATACGTCAAATGTTGGTAATTTATTAAGGTTGGAATTAACAAGTTGAAGCGATGTCACATCAAAGTTAGAAGTGTATCAAGATAAATTAGCAAAAGCAAAAGAATTGCAGAAGTCAAAAGAGAGATAATCGAACTTCATTAAAATGAAAACAAGTTACATTTTTCAAATAGGCCGAAGCCATAAAGAAAAGAAAAAGTACACCACAGCCTATTGGGGTGGGGGTTGGGTAGCCTGAAAAGGAACTATAGCCCCTGGGGTCACTTTATCATCGGTAGCCCCCTCAGTAGCCTCTTTGTCTAAATCATTTACTTGGTTCAATTCTGCTGGTGTATGAGCATATCCCTCTTCGTTATCATTTTCATCGAGGAACTTAGACCTAAGCCCAGAGGTGTAGTGCTGAGTATGCGCTTCAATCCATTCGATAACTTCGGTATAGGCATACCTCATCCAGTATACACCACAACGTTGGTATGCCTCTGTCAAATGGAAGTTGGCTAAAAATCGAGCCTCGACCTCTTTAAAATCACGCTCAGCGTCGAGGCGAGCTGACTCAATTTCTCCTCCCAGTTTGCCCACTTGGGGGTCAGTTCCCCCACCTGCCCAGTCAACTCAGTTTTTTCTTTGGTGGCCTTCTCAAGGGCCTCGGCTGTTATCTTCTGATGAGCATCAGAAGTCTCCACTCGCTTCGTCAATGAGGCTATCTCACTTTGAGATTAGTGGACCTCTTTTTCAGAGCCTCAATTTCTGTTAAAGTGGAAGCAGGTTTCATCGACTCCTCAGCCTCTTTCTTCTTTAAAGCATTAGCCTCAGACTTGGCTTTGCTTACCTGCTCCTTGGCCTGGGATGCCTTACCCACGAATTCCCGATTCTTCCTCTGCATGGTCTTGAAGAGAGCCTCCACCTCACGATGTCCACAACATCACTTGTCTTAACAAAATTCTGCCATTTTGCAATCCAGAACTAGTGGAATGTTATCGTGGTCATCTGAATCTTCAGAGGCAAAAGGTCAAGGGGCTTGGGCTCCAATTCATCAGTTATCTTAGCCAAGGGAGGCCTACCTTGAGTACGATCCGAAGTGGTGTCGCTAGAAGTTTTGGACTTCGGCGGGTTCTTGATTTTGAAGCTCGAAGGAGGCTGGCCGTTTCTGACCCCCAGTGGCCACAGCTATGGATGCTGCCAATAGTTTTTGCCCCGTAGGCACCTCTAAGCAAGGAGGGGGATGTCACTAGAGCTGCCCACCCCGGTGGTGGACACCCTGAACTTCTTTTTGGGCTCCTCAACCACCACTTGTCAATGAG